TTCTTCCACCAGAACTGCGGTGACCGTATGCTTCGCGAGGCTGTAATTCAATTAACAAAAGAGATAAACAATTATTCTGTCAAACTATGTGATTATACTTAATTCATTTGATGTTCATCAAAATTGGAGTACATTAATTAATTCATATAAACATAACTGTTTAGCATTCAATAACCAAATTCTCGGGAAAGTTTTCTGGTGAAAAACATATTACTGAAGGGGAATAATGATTTGAACAAAAGACCAAATTGTGAGTCGGCATAGATTAATCATGAGTTCTACTGACGCATACCTACAATATATATTACACATGGTCTACAGGTTGAAATGATTTTAAACACGAATCTCATTACAAGAAAGATTTAGGACCGATAACGATTTGTTGGCAAATTTTATTAACAGAATAAAAAACCTATTAATTTCAAGCTTGAATTTTGCAGCCTTTTCTTAGTGATACTTTAAACATACTCTACAGCATCACGATGGACTGGATATTTCCTGTGGACCGCTACTACCAGGAAAGCACACAAAAATTTATCAGAGGTAAACCACACAGCCACCACAAACGCGGTCATTAAGTGGTAACAAGTTCAAATAGCTTGAAGTTCTCAGCAAATACATATGAATGCGTACAATATACAACGATTGTCTGGAAGATGACTTAGAATTATACACAAAATATGTCACAACAAATACCGTAAAACAATAGCCGGGAGTAAACTCAAGGTATATCAATATTTGACTCCAGTTGTGAACACAAGATAATGTAGATCAAATAACATAACCCTCACATCTTGAATAATAGTTCTTAATATGCACTCAAAATTTTTAATCCTCGATAATGAATAAATGACAAGTAGCTTGCTGGATGCAAAGATAGACCTTTATGAGATGGTGGAGAATATTTGTAGCTCAGTTGATTATTTTGATGGAGTTTTGTTCTCTGAGTTAGATGGTTTGGTCGTGGAGCTTTCATCGTCCTTCTGAATGACATCATCAGCACGAACTTCGGGTAGAAGTGAAGTGTTTGAATTTCTCCACATGTGATTCACAGCTTGTCCTCTGCACCTCGATGTTGATTGGTTCTTGTTGACCTTAAATCCGTCATTGTTTATTTCTTTGTTTTGGTTGTATCTCCCATTAGTTTGGTTTTTGTTCCTATGTCCCTGCATACATTTCCTGATTGGTTGATAAATTGGATTGATTTCAATGTGCTTGTTTCTTGCTGATTGACCTGAGTGCCAAGCTTCTAAAAATTCTCTGGTGTTTTTGGAATAGCCTGTCCAAAACTAAAAAATTGGGTTTGTTATGTAGACGACACATTTGTTATCGTCAAAAAGGATGGACTACAAAACATCTACAGGCTGATCACCAACGTCTTCAATGACATCAAGTTCATCATGGAACAAGAGTCGAACAACAAGCTATCATTCTTAGATATATTAATCACCAGAGCCGACACAGGTAAATTGGAGACTCAAGTGTACAGGAAGCCGACAAACACTGATCAAATTATCAACTACAATAGCAATAACCCAAGAGCTTACAAAGTCAACTGTGTACAAACTTTGTTCAAAAGGGCAAGGACACAATGCAACACAATTACAGCACGGAAAAATGAAGAAAAATACCTGAAAACCATCCCTCAAAAGAACGGCTATCCAATCAATTTCATCAAAAAATACCAGTAGCACACACCATCAGAAACGAAGTCAAGCATAGAAATTAACAAAAGGATCACCATATCATACATAAAGGGCATATCGGAAACGACAACAAGGCTGCTGAAAACCTTCGGAATAGGTGTAGCCCACAAACCAACAATGTCCCTCCACTCAATCTTATGCAAACCAAAAGATGAAATGGCAAAAGAGGACAAAACAAACATCATCTACAAGATAAATTGTACCAACTGCAACAAACACTATATTGGACAAAGCGGACGCCCCCTGCATCTTCGCCTACAGGAACACCAATTAGCAGTCAAACGCCACGACGTTTCTTCACTCATATCAATACACGTGGACAACTACGGACATACATTCGACTGGGAAAATATGCAGATTTTGGACAGAGGCAATTCCAAAAATACCAGAGAATTTTTAGAAGCTTGGCACTCAGGTCAATCAGCAATAAACAAACATATTGAAATCAATCCAATCTATCAACCAATCAAGAAAATTATGCAGGAACATAGGAACAAAAATCAAACCAATAGGAGATACAACCAACATAAAGAAATAAACAATGACGGATTTAAGGTCAATAAGAACCAATCAACATCGAGGTGCAGAGGACAAGCTGTGAATCACATGTGGAGAAATTCAAACACTTCACTTCTACCCGAAGTTCGTGCTGATGATGTCATTCAGAAGGACGATGAAAGCTCCACGACCAAACCATCTAACTCAGAGAACAAAGCTCCATTAAAATAGACCTTTATGTTGACGTAGTCAGACGAGCCGAACTGTGATCAACTGGAGAAAGGTCAGTTTTTGTTATCAGCTCATTCTGACAAAATGAACCAGTAAATCAACGCAAATTTATGAATGGTATAGATGTGACTAATAGAGTTTTGATATCCTTCTAACATTTAACCGGAATGGTAATTGAGTCAGTCAAACGGTGTGTTCATTTAATTTTTACTCATTCAGTTCAATCGAGTTCTAAATTATTACATATTATGCGATTAACTGCGTATTACGTCACACATAAAATAGCTCAAGACCAGTGAACAGATAACTAATTGCATACCATACGTTTCGCGCCTCGGTAAGGGATTGAATTTCCAATATTTTCATCATCTGTATAATGTCCATGATTGACAACATCACTAACAGGAGGATGTAACAGACCACTACGACCTGGTCTACGTCCGCGACCACCACGTCCATAATTCCCAACACCACTACGGTCACCCCAACGTCCGACTACCGTACCACGAGGTGGGTAGCCTGGACCAGAGTCCACTCCACCATGAGATAAACTACGCATTAACTCCAGCTTTTCACTCTTATTAATGATGCAATAAAAAGAAAAAAATCTGCTAACTAAAGAGCATAGACTGTTATGAGATAATTATAAAGTAAAAAGTGTATTACATCATAATTCCAATGAAAAGAAAACAATATTTAAATGGCTTAATAAGAAAGTGTAAATTCGGAACCTAGTTCCAACTAGGCTCGGATTGATGAATAACTGTCAGGTAAAAGTAAAGAGACTCGCAAGCCCCAGTCGATATCAGAACAAAGCGATTGGGGTAATAACGGTTCTAAAATTCATCATATATACAAATGTACAAATTTACCTAAACAAATATTACCACCCAGTTATTCAACCAACAATTGATACCAAAATATTCAATCTAAATTACAAGGAATAGCAAAGTGGTAAGAAATATATGAAAATTACCGAAAACACCAAAAAGTGTTATTCTATCCTTTCTGGATAGATCAAGTAAGATTCCGTTTGAGCTGCTGTTCTATAACACAAAGTGTTTCAATTTCTGGGAAAGTGCTCCAATTTACAACTAAAATACATGATCCCAGTCAAAATCAAACCGCACAATCAAAAAGCGAGCAGTTAATATGGCAGCCGCCAGAATAATAACGATTAAAACAAACTGAATGCAGTTCAGTAAGGAACATAGAGACTCAATAAAAACGATAAGAAAACCAAGAAAATTAAACGTTACAGACTTAATTAGCATCAAAAAAGTTAACAATATATACAAATAAAGAAACCACAAGGAAGAAATCACAAATGTATGCATGGAGGGATTTTCACTTTCAAAGTGTATTTAACACGGATGACATTTACACTGCGCCTTCCGATTTATATCACATCCTAACATATTGCCTTGACTGCACTGCTCCAATTATTGGTCATGTGGCTTAAAACGCTTATAGGTGTCAAAGTACTTTTAAGACCTTTAAAAGAAAGCTAAGAAGATTGAAAAACCGCTACCACTAGCATCATGACGTGTATGCACTTGAGAGTATACTTAACTTGATCGACCGAAAAAGCTTCATCTAAATGCAAGTATCTTATGAATACAGAAACTAAATTCCTAGGTAGTAAAGGCCATAGTTGCCAATACTTTGACTTTTTAAATCTCGTATGAAATCAAATTCTTTTGGCATGACTAAATTCTGCACAGTTAGGGGAAGCATTGTCGACGACCCTGGTACTATTTGTGAACTATTCAGTCAGCATTTCTTCCAATGCGGTGACGCTGAAACTGAGACCTCTATCAACATATTTCCAATGTTGACATCTAGACATCTATCCAAAATTGATTTCCTATCCACCAACATCAAACAGACCATAGCTACCCTGAAAAAGTCTTGTGACGGTGGACCTGACTGGATTCCTTCATGATTTCTGATATATGGTAGTACAGAATTCCCATTATTCTGTTTAAAACTGTTTGACCTATCTATGGAATATGAAGTCTATCCATCTGTATGGAAAACATCTCTAATCACCCCTAGATTTCAAACGGTATCACATAGTGATATTGCTAATTGTATGTCCATTAAGTTGATATCTGTACTATCAAGAACCATGGGAGAAGTCATCCACAAACAGCTGTTATCATTTTCACTTTCAGATGGCCTGGTCAGCCCATCCCAACACTGGTTTATGACTGAACCCTCATGCTTCACACCGCACCTAGAATTCTTGGACCAAATTTTCCAGAGAAGAGATGTTGGTCAGTTAGTGATAATATGGCAGCCGCCATAATAATATCAATTAAAATAAATTGTATACAGTTCAAGAAGAATACAGAAATCCAATGAAAGCAACAGAAGAAACAGAGAAAACTATCATGAAATGAAACACCACAATACAAAACGGCATCAAAAAATACCAACAATAATGTACAAACAACAAAAACATTGACAAGAAGCTATGGATGTGTGCATGGAGGGATTTTCACACACGAAACGTTCAAATGGATTCTACAGAAAGGGAAAGTGCATAAATTATTTTTTTTTGGTGCTTATCGTTTAGAGAAACAAAGAAGCAATTTAGACAAATTCTTTAGTGAACAATTCCGCACTAATTGCAACCATGGTCCCATTCCCAGACTATGGAGGGCTGTTCATGGGGTCAGTAATCTCACCAAGTAGAAAAAAACTCGCGAAAGAGAAATTAATCAGAAAAACTATTTAAACTCTGCCTTAAGAGTTGATGGATCCTTATTTGGAAGAGTTATGACGTTTCATGGTGAAAGCCAAAATTATTCCACAGTCACGAGGCCGATGTCCATTCTAATAACCACAGCAAAATTTGTCGTTTGTACATGGGTTGTCCGGAGGATGTGGAAGGATCAGACAAACAGAGACGAAAATCATAAACAACCTGGGGGTGCTCAGAGTAACTTAAATCCATCGGACACAAGCTATACGGTAAAAAGTTAGCTTCATGAGAGGTCCTGTTATACACTGGTCATGAAGAAGGAAATGTTTCCCACAAACGAGGAGACGCAGTAACTCGCTAAAAAAACGCTAACCAAAAAAATTATTTAAACCTCGACTTTTCTCCTGTAACATACACGACATTCAGTGGACATTACAAGTCAAATGACTTTAAGGTTATGAAGCTATTTACCTTTAATTGATGCTATATAACTGCAAGAGAAAAAGGAACATAACTGGGAATCTTAATCATTTATGAGAGAAACTCATACATCATAACATCTGAGTACTTAGCAGAACTAGTTCGCACTTGGACACTAAATTCGCTGCTTTTAGTAATACAGCTTCAGAACGACTCAGATTCGTCCTTCAAAAACATGCTAAATTTTGAACCTTTCGTTATTCTTCGTTTAATACCCCTTCGCTTCCAAATATAACTAATACCTTGACGTGGTGGTCACACTTAGATATCTTGATGACCGAAATCGAGCTATATTCGGTGAGATACTTGTTTTCTGGTGCTCTACCGTGTCAAGCAGATTGGGTGGACAGTAGTTGTAATTCAAGGTCCACGGCAGAAGTTGTACTGCCAACTGCATAGAAGGTGTAGCGGCAGTTTTGCGTCTTCCTAAGACAAACAGAGTATGTAACGATAAAGTCTTTTCATAACGGAGAGAGTTATAAAAAATTGATCCAAAAGTAGCATAACTTGACTAGCTCGACGGATTTTCGTCGCCAAATAAAGGTTTGCAAAGCACGGACTTAAAACATCTGAAAATACTCACAAGTAGGCTGTGTGTGACCGGACCTAAGCAGTTGAACCCTGTGATCAGTCACAGATAATCAAGATCGCCTCTTTTCAGGTCTCTCAAAAGTGTCCTTGAATGGAGTAAGCATCCATGAAACGACAACTGGCGTCATTTATGCCTCTAGCAATAGTCGATATCATTTGGCTTCCCTTTTCAGATCCATTGATTTTTTGCCCATGTGTTGTTGTCAAACAAAGGTTTGAGCGGATGCACTTTTATGTTGATTTTCAACTTAGTACGCCATTTTATTTTACACTGAAGTATGAGTCAATCATTAGTAGCCGAATGAGGTCATTTGAGAGCAAACAGCAATGACCCGAAGGACAACTTCTACTCTTATCTTCCTGCTCAAGTAGTCAGTTTGTTTGCAGAGGTTAGCGCGTAACACGTCGTGTATCAATATCAGATCTCGGACATCGCCCATCATAACAAATTTACACAAAGAAAAACAAACTTTTGAAATGTACACTGCCACAAATACTACGAAGAAACTTGCTAACCTCCATTTTTTCAAGATCATAGAAGTAATCCATTTGAAAGTTGATCAACAAACGAGCTTTTTCGATAGAGTCCCTTGTGCCAGCTAGTATGAATCCACCGTATTCCTCATCTGTATATGGTTGCGAGGATGTCTGAGCACTTCCAGCCTATAAAATTTGACAAGATTAAGATTGCCTAAGGACAGACCAATAATTTTAACCTTAGAAAAAAAACACTTGTAAACTTTAGACTAAAGAATTTAAATTTTAATGTATAAACATAAGAGGAACATTTTTAACTCAAAGTAATATTAATAAAAATTTTTTTCAAACTATTAGTTCTAATATTGACGAACACTGGTGTAAATGATTAATACCGTTGAAAAAGTAACCAATAGAATGAAACAATCAGAATTCGTAACCCCGAAGAAAAACTGATACGAAACTGAGGAGTGATCAAGGTATAAATAATATGATTATTGTTCCAGGCACTGGATTATATGTTGAGAGTGCAATCAGTTGTTTTAAAGGTATTCTGTTCATCCAACGACTTTCTAAGATATTTACAGATGTGACATCATTTCTACTTTTTAGAACAATGTTAATAATCACATAAACTTTATGAGTGAAAGACCATATAAAAATTATTATCATTATCTAAGGTCAAATGACCAGGTTTGATGGGCATTGTAGATCAACGTATAAGTTCTCTTAAAAGTTGACCAGATAGTCAGTCCACTGGAGAAGCTTAAGATATATTGAGCCGCTCACACATGAAAAACTGTAAAGAGAACCTAGAATACTCCGTTTGCCAAATTAATAGGTTTACGTATATAAACGTACTGTGATTGTATTGATATATACACAGAATGTTAGCTTGACAAAAAGAAAGATATATATAATCATTACCTTCAAAAAGACACGTCGCATTGTGCTTGCTAAAGCACGCCCTGGATGAGAATACTTGATAACATCAGTTTGGTTATTATCATCGCTGAGAGATACAGGGCCTTCGATATGATCATCGAAATGAATGTGAACAACACCAGATTTACGAATAATGGACATAATATTTGAGGTTCTTTTCCCGATCAAACGGCCTACATAACGACGTGGAACACCTAAATACAGTTCAGAGTATTCCAGTTTAGCTCGAGCTTGTTTTGCAGCTTCCGGAGTCTAGAAATTTAAACCATTAATAACCATAAAATAATAACATTTTAATTAGAATTCATTTCCAGCAATAAAAATAAACCAATCAAGTGTTAGTCACTTTACTCTATAAAACTAAAACATACCATAGATGTTAATTTTGCCAACCAGACAAAACAGAATGCTTCTATTTTTCAGACATACAAAAGACACAACTTTTACACTAAGAGCTGTATCATCAGTGAAAAAACTAGGAGTTAATATTTACATGAGAAAAGTAAATGTTCGCTAACCAATTATCTGTCAAAAGGAAATTTATTAAAAATAAATACTGAGACGAAAGAAACCTGAAGATAGCCATTTTTAATAAATACTTGCAAAGCAAAGTGAAGTAACCATTGTTTTTTGTTCAATGGTACTCAACCTTTTACTACACACTACGCCAAATAGTTGCATATTTAATGAGTTAACAGAAATATGAAACGATATACAGCTAAATATCGTATATTTGTTTTTTATAGATGAATGGTGGTTGACTAATATTTCAAAACAAATATTTTCGTATCCGTAGAATACACCAGATACTTGGAATATACGTTGAATCATTTACATTGCACGTAATGGTGCACGAATTCTAGGAACAATGATCAGTCTTCAAAATTATTTTATATCCCTGTTGATGAACTTTTCAGCAGACCACTTACCCCCTCTACTCAAATTATTATTGTACAATCAACCGGATATTATGTTCTAATTTTCTGATAAATTCGTTCATATAGTTTAACAATACGTGTATAATAATTATGTGGACTAAGTAAAGTTACATAATTAGGTTTAAGAGTATTCCGCAGTCAATAGGTTTGGACGCTATTTAAATTACCACCTCTTCATATTGGTTTGCCGAACGGGACTCGGACTTTGTGGAGCATTTCGGACTAGTGTGGTAGCTCAGTGGTTAAGATAATCAACTCTTAACCAGCAGGTTGTGTGCGTGAGCCCCCGAACGCCTTGTTACGGTTGAGCGTGAGAAGAATCCATTCTCCCTCGAAATGCTCTCATGTAGTCACATGCATATGACCATTAGCAGGGAAGTCCTACTCACTGTCTTCTCGCGGTGAGGGTTTTGTTTACGAAGTCGAGATGTCAAAAGGCGAACGCTTCACGCTTCAATCAAGCTATCGGGTTCTGGGAATTCACCTAGGGAAGTTGGAAAATCTTGATTCCAAACCAATGGTGCACGGGGGCTCCTGAACCCTAAGGAAACAAATGGTCGTGAACCTATTATTAGTCACCGGCTATCATGGGACTGTCTCCTAACGTTGCTCTACTGCCTTTTTGACCAGACCTGTAGGTCAAAGGTTAGGGGAGTGGCCCCTTAACAGAATCACCTGCTCCGATCTGGTAACCTGGTCAGTATTTCGGCCAAGACACAAACTAACTGGTTTTTGTGTGGCGCATATATGTTTGGTGCTCCCTTTTATAAATGTTCATGTATTTAAATAATAATAATAAGGTTGTGTCTATGAAATCCGTTTCATATACATTAGTCTTGGCGATCTGAAAATATGAAGATACAATTGCTAACCTTTTTGCTTACAATTTTTGGCTAGTACATCCTTCAGACCCACCATAAATTACCTGTTTTACATTTATTTCAGTTAATTGATTATATCTATCAATTATACTTACGCGCCATCGTGAAACTTTCACAACCTTCGCGAGTCTAATTACTGAGAAACTGAAGAATAACCATCATAGTGATTAAAAATTTTTCCTATCCATAGAAAAAACAAGGGGGATTACCATAGAATTTAAAAATTCAGTATAATGGACTAACTCCGCCTGTAGCTCTTCTAGAGTTACTGCCGGTCTCAAGCCCAGACAAAGGAGGAGGGTTGGGCATAGGGTTAGCGACCCCATCCCGTAGAATAGCTAACTCGCTAAAAAACGCTAACCAGAAAAAATAATTCAAACCATTTAAACTCTACCCTGGGAGTTGAAGGAATAATTATGACGTCTCATGATGAAAGCCGAAATTCTTAGGAAGTCACGAGACCGATGCACCTTCTAACAACCAGAGCAACACTCTTTATAGGTACATGGAACGTCCGGACAATGTGGGAGACAGGAAAGACCAGTCAAATAGCATCGGAAATGAGGAGATACAACTTGGCAGTACTCAGAATCAGTGAACCCATTGGACACGAGCTGGACAACAAAGGCTAGGTACGAGAGAGATGCTGTTGTACTCCGGTCACGAAGGGGAAAATGCTCCACACACTTAAGGAGTTGCCAAGATGAAACTGAAGCTAAAGAAGCATCGGACAAACAACATTACAAAGGTTCAATACAGACTTCCTTCGAGATACTGACAAGCTCAATGAATTCAAGATAACTCTCAACAACAGGTTCCAAGCTCTACAGGATCTACTGAAAGAACAAGAAACTACTTTGGAGGACAACTGTCACATTCACAAAGGAAAAAGGAAGATTCTCAAATACAACACGGAGAACACCAACCCAATCACACTTGATGGCGAAACTCTGGAAGATGTAGAAACATTCACGTACCTGGGAAGCATCATTGATAAACAAGGAGGATCGGATGCAGAGGTAAAGGTGAGGATTGGTAAAGGAAGGGCAGCATTTCTACAGTTGAAGAACATATGGAACTCAAAACAACTCTCAACTAATTTCAAAGTGAGAATCTTCAATAAGAACGTCAAGATAATCGGAGCTGAAACGTGGAGAACTACTACATTCATCGTCAAGAAGGTACAAGTATTTATAAACAGTTGTCTATGCAAAATACTCAACATCCATTGGCCGGATACTATCAGCTACAGCGTTTTATGGGAGAGGACAAACCAGCTTCCAGCTGAAGAGGAAATTAGGAAAAGACGTTGGAAGTGGATCGGACATACATTAAGGAAATCACCAATGTGCATCACGACTCAATCCCTAACTTGGAATCCTGAAGGGAAGCGGAAAAGGGGAAGACCAAAGAACATACTACCCCGGAAAATAGAAGCAGATATGAAAAGAATGAATAGCAACTGGAAAGAACTGGAAAGGAAGGCTCAGGGCAGGGTTGGATGAAGAATGCAGGTGAGCAGCCTATGCTCCTCCACTAGGGGTAACAGGCGTAAGTAAGTATAATGGACTACAGATGATAAATGAGCTGAATGGCCGTCAACAATTATGGATAAATATGAACAGCTGCTAGTACCTATTTAAAATTTTACTAGTCACCATGTACAACCTGGTACGTATACACATCGACTAAAGTTGCCACACCCCATTAGAACAGAAAGACGACATTATCATGGCAAATCCCAGAATAGTAGAGGTAGTAACAGAATCAGTGGTAATTGAAAAGATTAAACATCAAAGATTTGATAAGTATGAATTAGTGGAATAAAAATCATGAAGACTTCAGCTTATAATTTGTGTAATCACAAAGGATGCATGCACCTGTGTCGTCGTCATTCAAAGTCTTCAACCATTGGTTACGATAGCTACGCAGACCCCAATTAGGTAGTCTGCACCTACCTACATGACTTAACCCAGTTGCCGATAACTTTATGGAATGATGCCACGTTTTGGTTTGGTCGCCCTTAACTTCCTTCCAATCTATTCCTACACCATGCAACATTTCCCATCGAGGTAGTAGGTGGTTTGATAAACGCAATACAAACCCCAACTATATCAGTTGAAGATTTACTAACTCAACAATCGAGTTCCCATCCTTAACTAGTATCTTATTCCTAACTCAGGGATTGCGTACTCCGTGAAAAAGTTTTACAGATTTTTTTAGCATTCATTAGGCAAATGATTATAAGACGGGGATTTTGTGATGAATTCTCTAATTTAGCCAGACATAGGAAATCAAGTAGAGCAAGAATCATAATTTTTATCAAATATTTAAAAGTGGAATTAAAAGATTGTTGAGTTTAAAGCACATTGTCGCTGACAGGATGGACTATAGTCAAACTGGATAGTTATGACTTTATTTATTGGAGATTAAACGACGTACAATATAGACACGACATTTGATAATTTCATTCTCCTGATGATTATTTGCATTTAAGCACGTTACTTTGTTGTAAGAAACTATTTCTCTTAGTCATGCCGGTAAATGTTGTTATACCTCATTAGCACAACGAGATAAATTTGTCCAGGTGAATCCCAGAGTAGTACAGGTAGTAAAAGTATTAATCGAAATGGAAAAGGTTAGGCATCGAAGATACAATTCCAGACAAAAATATCAATTAGTGAAATAAGAGTTCTTAAGGAAAATGGAAATTTATGATCTAAGGAGCGACAAAAAATGAGCGCACTTGAGTCATTATGAACGATTTTGAGTCATGTTACCCATTTTCTAACCATTCGTTACAATAATTGCGTGCACCTCAGCCAGATAGTGCGCCCACCCACATGGCTCAGTTCAACAGTTAGTGTCTTCATGGATTGATGTCATGTCTTGGTTTGGCCGCCCTAGCTTTCGTCCAACCTATTCCTACACCAGACATCATCGCACGTCGAGGAAATCAGAGGATGGGCATATGTAATATGTGTTCCAATTGTCTCAGTCGATAAATATTCATCATATCTTCAGTTGATTTGCCATCATTACCTAGTACTCTGCATCTAACATCAGAATCCCCAACTCAATTGTACTAAAGCACACGAAGACACCTACGACCGAATACTAGTCACCTACAAATATCCTCTACTCATAATGGCCATCCTTCGCAGACTTAAAGTAGGATGTACAGAACCACTGCGCAGTCGATTCATCCCTTAGTTGGTAGATGGATATCTCACCTACGCCTCAAGCGACGTAAATTGACATTAGCCAACAGTGTTTTCTGAATTTATGTCGAGATTTCGTCAAACACCAACCAACCAGGGCTTATCAAACTAGGTCTCGCCTTTTATCTCAAGAGACTTACGTTAATAATTCGATCTTGAGTAGCCATCATTCGGCCACATAGTATCATTGGATACCATCCATTGATTAGAATCTTTTCATTTTAACAGCTGAAAATTCGTCCATCAAACCACGAAGATACCAACTCATGAGTCAACTTGAAGTGACCCCGAGAATGCCCTATGTTTTCAATAATTTCTCGTAGAACTTAATATTGTCGTTCGATATAAAAAATAAGGGGAGTGGTGAGATGGTTTAAATTAAATACGCAAGGTCACTATGTGAACAAAAAGAAAATACGGATGCGTGCATGAAAATGACAGTAGACTTAGTAATGTGATTTCTCATACAGATGGATGAGCTACCAAGTAAAGTACATGACACTAATCATACGAAAACTCATCCCTTGTTTACAGAAAACACTAGATCATCATTCTGGAAAAAGTTATACCTTGGCTTCTATAACAAACATCGCAGCTTCACCATAATCTCCAGAATTATCGATAGGGTCATTGTTTCTTGCACTGTATTCGGACGGTTCCCACGACTCGATACGGATTACATCGGGAATCTCTCTTGCAGCACGAATATTTACACCACGAGCACCTATAGCTAAACCCATGAGATGTTGAGGAACAAAAAACTTCTCAACAAATAGACTAGGATCACTGTTCCAGTCACTGCAGTTCTTTGACCCACCTGGTCGTGATACATCTGGTCCTCGATTGACCTGAAAAATATTTACGGTAAGATCATAAAAATAAAGTTTTTTTTTCAAGAATATAATGTATTTCTTTGAATAATTCTATCAACCTAATAAACTTATCTAGAACGCAAATGCGCTATTTAGCATACAACAGATCTCATACAAAATGGTCAACGTTTGTATGGAAGTTACGACGTCAAGTCTGTGAAGGCTTTTGATTTTCTGACATACATGTAGTCGATAAAACTCCGCCTGTAGCTCTTCTAGAGTTACTACCGGTCCTAAGCCCAGGTAAAGAGTTATGCGTGGGGTCGGCAACCAGATCCTGTGGAAAACAATCTTTCATTCACCAACCACATAAAACTCTGCTATGGGAGATGAAGGAACAATTATGACGCCTTATGACGAAACCCGAGATTCTTCGGAAGTCACGATGCAGACGCCCCTTCTAACAACCAGACCAGAAATTTGTATAGGTACATGGAACGTCCGGAAAATGTGGGAGACGGGGAGAACCAGTCAAATAGCAACGGAAATGAGGAGATACAACTTGGCGGTTCTCGGAATCAGTGAAACCCATTGAACCCAAGCTGGATAGCAAGGGCTAGATACGCGAGATACTGCTGTACTCCGTTCATGAAGAGTAAAATGCCCCACGAACTCAGGGAGTTACTCTGATGCTGCTCAAAGAAGCACAAAATGTACTAATGGAATGGGAATCTTATGGATCGAAAATCACCAAAGCATCATTCAAAACAATGGAGGGGATCACAATGAATACTATCCAACGTTATGCACCCACCAATGATAGCAATGACGAAGAGGTCACAATCGATCACATAGAAGTGTCCAGGAAATCACCTGACAATCCTGATAAGAGATCTAAACGCCAAGGTTGGAATGAACAAAAACGATAATCATGGGACAACATGGACTGGTAGAGAGAAACGAAAATGGTGAGAGATTCGCAAACCCATATGCATCCAACAAAATGGTTATAGAAGGCACAATATTCCCCCACAAACTCATACACAAAGCTACGTGGGTCTCACCGGATCACGCTACACAGAACTATACCGGGAGTATGAAACAACTATATGACACAATGGATAAACTAGAAGGGAAATATATTAAACAAGAGAGACCAGTCAGGGATAAACAAGGCAAACCAATTACTGAGATTTAAGAACAGCAGAACAGGTGGGTAGACCACTACGAAGAACTCCTGAATATAGACCAGTCCTACTGGACATCGAAGCAGCATACATAGATTTTCCTATAGCTGTCACTTCACCAACGATCGAAGAAATCAGCATGAAGATCAGACAGATCAGGAGTGGGAAAGCAGAAGGACCAGGCAACATAGCAGCTGAAGCACTGAAGTCAGATATAGAGGTAACTACGAAGATGTTCCACATCCTATTCAGAAAGATTTCGGAGAAACAAGTGCCGATAGACTGTAGAGAAGGACAGTTTATCAAGATGCCAAAGAAAGATTTTAGCAAGTGTAAGGAATCATACTATCAGTACGAGGAAAACTTTCTCTCAACCATCTCAGTCGATGAAGACTGACAACTTCATCAACTGATTTACCGTCATTCTCTGATACACTGCATCTAACTTGACTATTACTTACTCGGTGATCTCAGCCGACACAAACAATATTTCTAAAATATCTGTGATCAGATACTAGTAACTGACGAGCATCTTCTACTTTTAATAGCCACGTTATGCAGCCGTAAAGTAGGAGAGAACGAACTGCCGCGCAGTATACTTGTTCCTTAACTAATGGACGGATATCTCGCCTTCGCCATAGGTGACGTGAGTTGTCAGAATTCAAACGAGTCTCCTGAATCCGTGCTGAGATTTCGTCAGACACCAACCCATCGTCGACGCGTTCGACTACTTTACTCCCTATTCTTAGTCCAGGCGTTGACGCAAGTCAGTCTTGAAGCAACAATTTGCATTAAGAGGGGAAGAAATGCATTGATGAGTAGACGGACGACTACATAACAAAATAACCTTGCCAAAATTAACCTATTTTAGATTATTTCGACCACACAATGGCCCTGATATGGTCGAGGGTGGGGAGAGTTCGCTTTCTCTCTCAAAATACTCTCACATGGCCACGCGTATACAGCCACTGCCAGGGAAGTCCTACTCACTGCCTTTTTGTGTAGGAGGTTGTTGTCTACAAGATTGAGAGGACGAAATTGATAAGCTTGCCTGAATCTACAGTGCTGTTTTTGTAACACTTCAAATCACAATAGATTACACGTCCTCATGAAGAGAGATAAAACCTGTCCGTTATTTACAGTTAGTTACATGGCGGATATGAAATCAATACAATGCAATATATTAATCCACGGATTATCCTTCGAGTCACACACTTGTTTGTTACAGAAAGTGGGATTATCTGATAGCACAAGTCTTGTTAGGTTAACGGATATACCATTGAATGGATGAAATCAAAGTAACCCGAACAATTGACTAACAATCTCATATTGAAAATAACATTACCTCAAGACTGTAAACATTCATGTCTTCTGAGGCATGTTGCAACCCTGCATTGATTTTTATTTAATCAAATGGAAGTGGGAGATCTGTCAATTAAAGAGGAAGTGCATGAATATTTAGCTGAAACCATTGTCTTGCGTGAAGATTTTCAGTATACTGAATGTAGTATTAACAGTGCGCAGGCAAACTGGTTACGACATGATGATAGAAATAATTTGTACACCCAAAACGACGCGCACAACAATAACCTGGCTTACAAATGCAATTCTAGAGAGCTAAGATGAATGAAACTATTAAACTAACGGCGTTGAAAGTGGTACCTTTTTTAATTGGAAACCATTTTATCAGGCGTTGACATCGTAAAAAGTACTTCGAATTCTTATAAGACATCTACAAACTAAATTATGTCTCTGTTGCGTACGGTATGGAGAATTTCGCACCATTAGTAAGCTTCCATTGGTATAATAAAATCCCCGAGGTTAGGAAGCCCTGAGAAGTGAAATTCAATAGATCCTCAACAGAAACAATGGGCTGTATCTTACGGTGTGAGATGAATAAACACTTACCTCAAGATTTCGAATAGTTTGCCGAAGACTTCGAGTTAGGGCCCATTTTTGGCGCAACATCCTTAAATGAGTATCTTCCAACAAGGCAACATTCTTTGCTGTTACAGGGTCTGTCGTTAACACGACCAAACAGGAAGACTCATTGTCGTAGTACAGGCTTACAGGGCCACCACAATGGCGCAAAAAGTCATGGTGGACAGAAGGATCAGAAGCACTAAAAACAGAAAATTAATAATGAGCTCTGCGGCAAAGACTGATAAACTGTAAGAAAAACAGAATAGTTGATTTGAGAATGGAGTAGGAATGATACAATCACCTTAGTTATCCACTTGCATCCTGGTGACATAACATTGTTTGGGTTTGATTTTGTAGGGATCGAAGTATATAAACGATTTGAAAAGTTACTCCCCAGGTAAGAAAAGCTGTCAGATAAGCGGATCTCAAGTTTTGAAACTAGGGAGCATTACATTTTGACGACGGCGATCGTATAGAGTAGTGTTTCATTATAATGCAACTTATAATGTAGGAGAAAACAAAACAAGACCCCTAAAGTAGCTAGCCCCGGGATGTTTTCATACGGTTGAAGGTGAGAAGAATCCATTCTCCCTCGAAATGCTCTCATGTAGTCACATGCATATGACCATTAGCAGGGAAGTCCTACTCACTGTCTTCTCGCGGTGAGGGTTTTGTTTACGAAGTCGAGATGTCAAAAGGCGAACGCTTCACGCTTCAATCAAGCTATCGGGTTCTGGGAATTCACCTAGGGAAGTTGGAAAATCTTGATTCCAAACCAATGGTGCACGGGGGCTCCTGAACCCTAAGGAAACAAATGGTCGTGAACCTATTATTAGTCACCGGCTATCATGGGACTGCCTCCTAACGTTGCTCTACTGCCTTTTTGACCAGACCTGTAGGTCAAAAGTTAGGGGAGTGGCCCCTTAACAGAATCACCTGCTCCGATCTGGTAACCTGGTCAGTATTTTAGCCAAAACAAAAATCAAATGAAGTGTGGTGTAAAAATATCTGATACCCCTTTGACCATTGTTTATAAATAAAAAGTGGCCAAGATATAATCGGATTCAAGGAGATCGTGAACTGAGCTGATAGTAACTCAAAACGACATTTTTTCGGTGATTTCAGTAAAGAAACTCCCCAAGGATGCTACGAGAATTAATGATTATAATCCTGTCTAGGAATTTTATTTCCAAGAAATTATTATGAAAAGTTTCACATAACATAGCTATCTAGCCAATACAATCAATCTACTAATGGCCACGCCTCTAAATTTTGTGGGCAAAACTAGTGGACCTGCGTCACTTTTTGCAATATTTATGAAGTTAAATACTTTGTCTTTACCTAGTGACCTTATATCAGGATTCCAGCGGACACATCTTGGCGATCAAAAGTTGTTACGAATTGGAGTTTTGAGAGATAGCATGTGATAACCAGATTGAGTGCAACTAACTTATAAATTTCAATAACCTGATTTGTGAGTTCTTTTCATTACAAAATGGTATGGAGTAAGATTCAACGTTTTCATAAAAAAGGCAAGTGCAGCAATCAAATGCAAAAAAACAAGACAGAAAAACAACAGAACTGTCCTCTACCTCCATTGCTCAAAATAGACTTACAAATCTGCCAATTCTTTTGGAATTTCGATACGATGCCGGTGGATGATATCAGGTGACAGACACGGACAATCATCACTGGGTTGACGTAGGGACTTACGACTTACGATCTCGGTGACGGTAGAAAGCTGTGTACAAAGTGAAATCTCTGAGGGCGTTGCATCGGCCGGTGGGGTTACATTTAACTTCACCACCGCGACATCATCTCGAATCTTGACAACGCGGCAAGGCCACCAAGATGGAATAGGGAGATAATTTAGCTGATCATCCAGTATGAGTTCGACTTCCGGTTTACTATTAGTTTCATCTCCCCAACGACCAGGCAGTGTAATTGTATTACTAGAGGAACTTGGAGTCTGATCAGTCGCGATAGAAAATAGGGCTTCCCCGCTTTGTCCAGGATGAACATCCCTAAAAATGCAAAATAAAACATATCGACTTCCGAAAAAGCTTTTAAAACAAAGGACTATTTATTTCATTTCGTACTAGTTTAAGGTCATGTAGAACTTCTTGGATCAGCCGTTTACGCAGTTGTCTCAGTAAACAGATAAATAAATACTAATACGCGATGGTATTTAAAACTAAAATGAACTTTGAGTACCATAAAATACATACACAAATTTTTACCTCAAACACGATTGTTTAGTAAGTCCACTATAAATCTCGATTACAGACTACGTATAACTTATTACCTACATTCCAGTTTCTAAAATAAGACACAGAATTAGGCTGACAGTGGACAGATGTCAATTGAGAAATGTGAAAAACAACTAGCTGTTTAGGAATAGACCGGGTGATGATGTCTACTTTTAAATATGCTTAACTACTAGGAGTATCTTGTTTTCAAAAAATTGAATAGCCAGGTCTACAGATCTTCATGCTATATCTTTGTTACTAGAACAAGCATTGCTCCCCAATTTTTTTTATTTATCTATTTAATCACATATATATTGGTACAAAAGACACCGGATACACATGCGCCACACAAAATAATGAGAATGGGAGAAGGATGAAGATGCGCATATATATAAAAAGGAAAAAAAGAAAAGGAGAAGAGTAATGATGGGGGGAACTGAATGTACAACCAGAAGAGCTCTCTCAGTTAGAAAAGTTATAGCCACTCTTTATGTAGAAAGTAAAAGGTTACAGCAGGATCGCCACTGGCTTCTATTTTGAGTCATATCTGATAACGTCTCTAGCTACTGTGTTGCACGATCTCTCGAACCCCAGCCAGGGAGTCGTGAAGGACCAACAAAAGCTAGCCCTTTGCAGCTTTCTTTCATGCCACGACACAATGTCATACACTGACCTCCTCTCCGCTTTTTCCAACCAGTCCCAGAGTCGGCAAATAATGCACGACGTGGAAGTCTCTGGGACGACATTCGTAAAACATGTCCAAGCCACCGAATTCGGTGTTTCAAGATGGTGACACCAATTGGATTATCATCTCGGCACCCGAACCTCTGCATTACTAACATGGTGTTGCCACTGTATGTCAGCAATCCTTCGGAGACAGCGATGATCGAACACAGAGAGTAGTCTAACATCCTCAACTCGGAGAGGCCAGGTTTCACAAGCATAGAGCAAAACTGCTCTCACCGACCTTTTACAGCCAGACTAACATCACGAAGGCGCCAAAGATGACCCAGATTGGCATAAGCCGCTCTGGCTTTCATTATACGTGCATCAATCTCATCACTCACGCCACCACCAGCACTTATATAGCAGCCTAGATACACGAACTTCTCAACAACTTCAATCTGCTCACCATCCAGGGTGAGTGCAGGATGAGAATCCTACCAGTCTTGTAGGAGTACTTTGCATTTGGAGGGTGCAAAGCACATGTCGTACCTGCGGACACTGATTGCCAACTGATTAAGTGCGGATTGCATGCCTTGGGCATTATCGCACAGTAAGACAATATCATCCGCATACTCAAGGTCGAGAAGTCGTTCTCCAGGCAACATATTCACACCGCCATTACTTACATCCATCAGAGCTGTTTCCAGGATGTCATCGATGGCAAAGTTGGAGAGGAATGGTGAGATCGGACAACCCTGCCTAACCCCACTGCTCGAATGATACAAGGGAGAATGGTGGTTGTATGCCCTCACTCTGCCTGAGGTGTTCGTATACAGGGCCTTCAAGATGTTAATGAACTTCTCAGGCACACCCTTCTTCAATAGACAATCCCAGAGAACAATCCTGTCCAACGAATCGAAGGCAGCCATGATATCAAGAAACACTACGATTGTTGGCCTGCGATAAGTATGACGGTGTTCTAACATTTGGCGGAGGGTGAAGATGTGGTCAATGCATCCTCGACCAGAACGAAAACCAGCCTGCTCCTCGCGAGTCAACCGTTCTCGGGTTATAAACAACCTACGAAGAATGACAGAAGCCAATAGTTTGGACGCAATCGGAAGAAGACTTATCCCCCGATAGTTGTTACAGGAACAACGTGAACCCTTTTTAAAGATAGGGACGACTACTGACTCATTCCATGATGTTGGAACACTTTCTTGCTCCCAAAACTTTGCAAACAACGCAGTCAGTTCCTTAGCCAGAAAGTCATCTTTAAAAAGAGCCTGAGGTAAGTCATCTGGGCCCGATGATTTGTAGCGCGAAACACTGTCCCAGGTCTACTGAAACCTCGCTCCAAACTACACATTGGAGCCTTCAAAGTACGTACCCTAAGACAAATCGGTCAACAGGCCTTCTTGGCTGAGACCCTAGAATCTCATACCATTGATGTATGCTGTGTCTCCGAAACACGCATACAGGATCCCAGTGTGGTCATTCACTTGACCTCACCTCGCCAAAATGGACAGCCTACGAAATATACTCTCCGTGTATCTGGAGACCCTATGATTAGTTCTCGATGACTTGCAGGTGTAGGCTTAGCACTTAGTACAAGGGCAGAACAAGCACTATTAGAATAGATCCCCGTTAACAGTCGCCTGTGTGCTGTCCGGCTAAATGGCCCCATAAGAACTCGAAAGGATAGGGACACACGTCGTTTCTGCCTACGCTCCAACTGACTGCAGTCCGAATGAAGTGAAAGATGACTTACAGAAAGCTCTCTGAACTTCTTCAAAAAGCCAAATACTCAGACAGTACTCGTAGCGGGTGACTAATGCACAATTAGGCAGCTTAAATCAAACAGAAAGACATTTAGGTGGGTGTTTTAGTATTCCGGCTCAGCGAACTGATAATGATGATCGTCTGTTGCAACTATGCTCAGACAATCGTTTAATTCTAGCAAGCACTAATTTTAAACATAAGGAGAGACATCGTCTAACATGGCGACCACCTGCTACAAACCAACGATGGACTCGAATAGACAATATTGCCATCAGTCATCGTTTGGGAGGCTCGATAGAAAATTGTCGTTCGTACTGGAATACCTGTTTAGACTCTGATCACGCTTTAATACGAGCACGCATTTGTCTGCGCCTCACTGGACGCAGGAAAACTACACTAAGAAGACCAATTAGGATTGAAGTGGAGGACGAGAAAGCCAAATGCGAATTCCAGAAACAACTGAGTTCACATCTAGGCAGTTCTGTAAACGAGACTGACACAGATGCTGCTTGGAAAGACATACGAACAGCTGTGGAAACAGCAGTTACATCTATTAGTCATTTAAACCATAGGGCTCCAAAAAACCAATGGATTTCTTCTAAGTCTATTTCACTGATGGATTCGCGTAAACTCATCCCATCAGGCTCTGAACATGACGAAGAGCGTAAAGAAATTAGATCTAGGTTAACTAAAAGTCTAAGGAACGATCGTGAGCAGTGGTGGGCAACGGAAGCAAAAGCGATGGAAAGGGCAGCGGCTGTAGGCAACACCAGGCAACTATTCAGACTAATAAAAGAAACCGGAATTAAGAAGTCAAGTGTAAGTGAGACAATCTCCGAAAAAGACGGAACCCTTATCTGCTCTCAACCCAAACGTTTAGAACGATGGGCGGAACACTTTAAGGAGCAGTTTAGCTGGCCTTCAGCTACTGCACAACTACCCACTATTCCTAGAAAACCTGAATGGAACATTGAAGTAGGCCCCCCGACCCTACTTGAAGTTCAAAAGGCTATAGGTAATCTGAAACGAGGAAGAGCAGCTGGTCCAGATGGATTGGCTCCAGAGGTCTTTAAATATGGTGGTCCAATTCTAGCGACTAGGTTGACTGACATTCTGGCTAAAATCTGGGAGACGGATGTAATCCCATCCGACTGGTGACAATCACTAATTGTCCCAATATATAAGAAGGGACCAAAATCATCCTGCGATGACCATAGAGGGATTAGTCTGACTAACATAACATCTAAAATATTAGCCTCAATAATTATCGGGCGCCTAACTAAGACTCGTGAACTGCAAACACGAGAAAATCAGGCTGACTTCAGACCTGGTCGTGGCTGTATCGACCACATATTCACCATTCGTCAAGTTTTAGAGCACAGACATGCTTATCGGCGTCCGACAATGATAGTTTTTCTTGACTTGAAAGCAGCATTTGACTCTGTAGACCGAGAGGTTCTGTGGCAGTGTCTGTCATTAAAAGGTGTACCTGAGAAGTACATAAACCTTGTGAAGGCTCTTTACTCGAACACTACCAGTCAAGTGAGAGCTTATGGCGAACTGTCATCTGATTTTACAACCTCAAGTTATGTCCGACAAGGTTTTCCACTATCCCCATTTTTGTTTAACTTCATTATAGACCTATTGTGGAGATAACACTCTTCGACTGAATTTTCAGGAGTTGATCTACCAGCGGGTCCACTAAGCGACTTAGAATACTCAGATGACATAGTCCTGTTTGGTGAAGATGCTGACAAAATACAGTCTTCTGTTAGAACTGAGTAATAATGCCAGGATGTTCGGGATGCGTTTCTCCCCATCAAAATGTAAATTGTTACTCCAGGACTGGCCTGCATCAACACCTGAACTAAGGATAGGGAGCGAAGTAGTCGAACGCGTTGACAACTTCACTTATCTTGGAAGTCTGATCAGCCCTAATGGGTTGGTGTCTGACGAAATCTCAGCACGGATTCGAAAAGCTCGTTTGGCTTTTGCCAACTTACGTTACCTATGGCGAAGACGAGATATCCGTCTATCAATTAAAGGACGAGTATACTGCGCAGCAGTTCGCTCTGTTCTACTTTACGGTTGTGAAACATGGCCTTTAAGAGTAGAAGATACTCGTAAGTTACTAGTATTTGACCACAGATGCCTTAGAAATATTGCACGCATCTGCTGGGATCACCGGGTAAGTAATAGTGAGGTTAGACGCAGGGTATTAGGGAACGATGGTAAATCAGTTGATGGGGTCATGAATCTTCATCGACTGAGATGGTTGGGCCATGTGTTACGTATGCCTGAACACCGCTTACCACGACGCGCTATGA